CAATGATTGTACCTGGGCAGAAGAGAACCTCTGGCCTGGAAATTCCGCAAATGTTAATTTCTAAGCCGGATATTGCGTGAATTTGAAAAGTGAGAGCAAGAAAATTGTTTCACCTTTCGACATAAGTGGGCGAAGGGGGGTATTTAATTAGAAACGTTAATTAAAAGCGAAATGTGCAATTAAAACGGACCGCAGCAAAACAAATGCATAATAAAATGTCAACGTAATTGGCATATGACCGAGCGGATTCCATAAAAAGCGGAATAAATAAGGAAAAAAACGGATATGATCATTGAATGTAAATTGAAAGTGAAATGGAGAATTGCACATTTTTAGTTGAGATACAGTAAGCTTCAGTTATATATTGCTAACAAAGGCATGGAAAATGTAAAACTAAATGTTATAATTAAATTACTAGGAAACCCAATATATTTTTTAATTATTCCTATAAGTTATTTTAGTCCGAATTGATTTTCTTCGAACCTATTTTCAATAAACTATTCCTAGAATAAATTTCTTGCGGCTAAAAGTGAAATTTGTAGGCCAACTGTTCTCAGAATTGGTTACAAATTAAAAAGCCAGTTACATAAAATTCTCTTTAAAGCCCGCTAGTTAACAATAATTTATTCCCGAGGCGTAGAAAAAACAATAAATCACTAAAATAAAAGGATATTCGTTTCCATATAGGCTAGACATGTTTTTTAATAAATATTGTAGTGGTAGTCTGGCCCAGATGTGGGGCAACTGCAGCAGTTTTTATTAATTGCATTGCAATGAACGTTGGCATTTTCACACATATGGCGAACACGAAACGAAAACAACAATGGGAGGCCAAGAAATGTCAGCCAGGCGCAAACTCACTCGCACTATATATATAGAACATATATTCAGAATTCGTTGCCTGCGACGTCATTGTCATGAAATGCACAAACTTATTGAGACCATGTCGTCTACAGTAGTATGTGCAATATCGCACACACCTCCCGATTCCTCCCCGATTCTCCGCTGTACGGAAAACATTGTCCTTGCCGGCGGATGGCATAATTTTAGAGCTCCTTGTTGATATTTTTAGTGGTAATTCAAATTATTCCTGCGCGTTGTCAAGGAGTCAGGCTGCCTGCTCCCAGAAATAGCCATGTCTCTGTACATATACAGTGACGTTCTTGTGTTTTTATACATTTATTTAAGGGCCTGACTCGTTGTTGGCTGGCAAAATGAGCACTTAATCAACTCTCGCAGATTTAATTAAATGTGCAGTAAAATAACAATCCAGAGAGCAGGCAGCGATATTAATCATACGTCATGTTGTCAGCTTTATGAAAAGCTTGCATAAATCTCTGCCAAAAGGCCCCCCGAAATGCAGTCTGCTGTAAAAAGTGCAAGTGAGTGAATATAAAGCATATATCTATATATATGAGTGGGTGTTCCGTTGCTGGTAAATTGTTTCAAATGTGCGCAATTTAAACGGAATTGAGCAAACCCGAACGCCAAAAATAAAAAGGGTGAACCGAACAGTGGGCGGGGGCTGCCCCGCCCTTTTGACAAATTTAAAAAACCCGGCTATAATAAACTGGCATTGCCAAAAAATAAAAAGGAAGCAGAGAAAAACCGCAGCAAAAAGGAAGGAGCCAATGGAAAAGGGACGAGAAAATAGAGTAAAGAGAGCAAAAAAGAAAGTAAACAGCAGCCGGGACAAATGGCTCGTTTGGCTAACCTTTTCTGTTCGACTGCTCTGCATGGCTTTTGTTTATACAAAAGTTTAAATTGTGTCAATTTTTTTGTTTTCTTTTTCCGTCATTCCGTCCTCAGCGAGCGCAATGCGAAAAGTTTGCCGAACAAATGAAATGCGGGCAAAAACAATTTCGAAAATCAAGACAAGGACAAGGCGACCAAGGACCGCAAAAAGTGTGAGGATAAAAGCCAACAAAGTATGCTTTACGACAGGATCCAGAGCAGACTCAAGTGACGGGAATTCCCCGAGACACTAGCTGGGAACCCTAAGGAGACCAATGAAAATCGCGTTCTCGACTATTAATTGCCAGGAGAAAAGGGTTTTTAGAACAGGGCCATAAACTGATAGATGGCCACTATTTGATGGCTGGAATGGGGGGACAAAGCTCTCTTCTCTCCTATCAGCATAGTTTTTTCTCGGCCTTAACAGTTCATTGCGGTCCACTGAAGCGAAAATATTTATTTTATTTTTCTGCGTCAATCACTGCCATTGGTGAGATTTACAATTTTAGCACACAAAAACGCACCAGACGAGCTTTTATCACAGTACATATATATGGAAAAAAATGCTATCAAAATGTTACACTTCATGCAATTCAATTAAAAGCTTGACAAACAAGTAGAAATAAAGTAATTAAAGAAATTTGTTTATATTCAAAGTACAGTAAAAATTGCAACAATGTGATAGTTTGAAGTATTGATTGGTGTCAGATTTAAAAAGTAAATAATAAAGTTATCAATTATTTAAATTGAGTACTTTTAATAAGTTTTGAAGATTCGGCGAACACGGAAACTATTGAGATTGCTTTTATGAAAACCATTGAATCATAAATTAATTAAAGAATAATTGAATAAATCTTTAAATTAAATTTACAAATATATTAAATAGTGGCCATGTAGAACTACACTTTTAATTTATTAAAGTACAATTTTATTTGTAACAATAATTAAAATCAAATCTCGTTCAATGTCGTTATGACGCCATATCATAGCTTTACTATATGAAGGTTTTATTGGAGGAAAAAAAGATTACTATATATGATATTTGCTAGACAAGTTTTTATAAATATAAAACGCAGTGACACTTGTCAATAAACATAAATACTTATTTATGTAAATAGTGAGATATTGATCTATAAAATGCTGTATTATTTTCCTTCATTTTTCTTATAGTAATCCTTTACGTTTATCTACGTAAACCAATTAATAAAACCAGCCATGCAGTGTCATATCCTCATTAACAATTCCATGAAGAAAAATAAAATCCTAATTCATTCAGTTAAATGAATTTAAGCGATTTGATTTAATAGCAGACTAACACGGCATGTACAATATATAAATAAATCAATGGAAATGTGAGATCTGGGGAAGCATTCCATTTGGTGCAAATGAAACGGATCGATAGGTAACCCTTAAATACATCAGACTGAGCCTAATGAGTGCGGTGCTTCTGCTGCTGCTCCCCACCTTGAAAACACCTAATTTATTTATTGATTTATGTATTCAGTCCATTTGGGAAATTAGGTTTCAATCATTTTCAATTGATTCAATTCTGGCAGGAGGTAACTTTTCTGGCAAACTTTCATCACGTCCCCAATTCTTGGCACACGAAAATAGTTGGGCAAACTAAGAAGAGGAATAAAGTCCGCCCGTCCAAATGCAAATACTAAGGATCCGAGTGGCCAGCCTAATCCTCCGGCAAGCACAAACTATGCATGTGCGGGCCATGGCAGCCAAAGCCAAAGTTAATACAATAGAACCAACCGAAACTTGGGTTCAGTTCGCCTTCTTGAGGAAACTTTTGCTGCCTGCGTTGGCCCTGAAATTAAAGTCAATTACCGAAGGAAGGGCTGAGAGGGGGCGGACAACTTCAGGGACTGGGACTGTTCAGGAATTCAGCAAGACAATTTACGAGATCCCGCGGGACGAAGCGACTAGCGTTACGTAGGTTTCCGTCGGTTCCGGTGACCATGTGTGGCTCTGTGGCTGCGTTCCAGTTTGGCAATATAAACGGCGATAAATTAATTATCGGCCGATCAAGTCATTGTCGCCATTAATTATGGCCCTGGATGGCCTTTTAATAGTTTTTCACACGCCTCCCCGCCCGGAATCCTTGCCCACCGGGCAATTAGACGAAGATGCCAAGGCGGAGGAGACTGAGATGAGAAATATGGGCTGGATTGGGTCCAAGGTTTTATGACAATGTTTGCTGCCTGAATAACGACAGAAGCACTACGTCTGGATCGTGAATTTAATGCGCTGCAACAGTTAATGATTTTATTGGCACTCCGCTTGACTTGGTAACATCTTGGCGGGGAGGACGAGAATACGGACGGACTCGGCATCCTCGTAAACAGGCGGTGGGGCTGGGAATTTATGACTTGGCCTCATGAATATAATCAATGTCAAGAGCAGGGACCGCCAACGCAGACGCCAAGTGTCGTCTGGTGATCCCCATGCCTTGCGGTATACCCGCCCTCAGCCATTCTTCATCCTTTCAACACTCGAATCCCACTTGGAGTCCCCATAGCAAACCCAACCCTAGCCCGATTTCCCCTTGGACAGCTGAGTGCAAAAGAGGTGCCAAGAGGAGCCCTGACCAGACGAGCCCGGATGAGCCGTAAACGAAGTTGGCCAATTCGCTCGTCTGGCTTAAATGGCATTTCAATTTGGCACTTCCGCTTCCGAATCAGCTGCCACCCGCCAACAGCCAACTGGCAACTGTCCTTCTTTATCTCCTGGCACGATTCTTTGTCCGTAATGTCCTTGCCAAATGCCAGGATACAGCAGCAGTTCTTCGGCAGTAAAACACGCTCACTGGGTCACATTTGCAGGTCCTGCTAGGCGTAATCTTCAATCATTTTTCCACCACAACCATGAACACGTTTTTTTCTTTGTTTGAAATCACTTTACTTTTATTTAGCACACTTTTAACTGCTGTTTTCGGGTTCAAAAACTTGTTTTTCCCAACACTTTCGTTGCGTTTCTAAATGCGCGCGTTCAACCAATTGGTTTGAAAGTTCCGATGTAACTGAAACAGTCAACGGCGTGGACCCAGCTCCAAATAACATGCTACGCAGATGGAAGCTCGCCGGAAGGACTTTAAAGGACGAGGTGCGAGAGCTTTTGGCCAAAGAATCAAAAATTAACCGACATCAACGCAAACTGACAAAAGTTCAACGCTACGTAACTTTAATTTTATTGTCTGGCAACCCTACAGTTGGTATTTTGCACTCATATGGTATTCTGCACTCATTGAGCAACGGTCACACTGTACGAATGTTTACAATTTTTCACATTGTAAATTGAAACTAAATAACAAAGTTTAATTAATAAACGCGAAATAGCAAGAGATGGCCCACTACAAGGGGGCCGCCAGCGAGGCGGGGCGTGCCGCCCAGCTGATGAAGAAGCGCGAGATCCAGCAGCAGGAGATCGAGTTCCGCAAGAAGAAGATCGAGGAGGAGCTGAAGCTGGACAAGATTGAGAATAAATTCGCGACGCACTACGATGCCGTGGAGCAGCAGCTCAAGTCCTCGACCATCGGCCTGGTCACCCTCGACGAGATGAAGGCCAAGCAAGAGGACATTGTGCGCGAGAGAGAAAAAAAGCTGGCGCAGAAGAAGGACGAGAAGGATCGGGAGAAGCAGCGTGCCCTAGAGGCCATACAGGCGGAGAAGAACAAGCAGAAGCGGCAAATACAGGCGCTATCCTTCAACGTGGACGAGGAGGAGGATGAAGACGGCAACGACGATGAGGAGGAGGAGCTACAAGTAAAGGTGAAGCAGGAGGCCAAACCCAAGGCCAAATGGACCGAAATGCAGGACGCTATAGTGCCCTTAAAGAAGAAAAAGATCTGCAAGAACCCCGATGTGGACACCTCTTTCTTGCCAGATCGCGAGCGCGAAGAGCAGGAGAACCGGCTGCGCGAGCAACTGCGCCAGGAGTGGGTCATGCAACAGGCGGAGCTTAAGGACGAGGACATCTCCATTACATTCAGTTACTGGGACGGATCAGGCCATCGGCGCAGCGTACTGATGAAGAAGGGGAACTCCATCTACCAGTTCCTGCAAAAGTGCCTTGAGCTGCTGCGCAAGGAGTTTATCGAACTGAAGACCGTAATGGCCGACCAGCTTATGTACGTCAAGGAGGATCTGATACTGCCGCACCATTACTCCTTTTACGACTTTATTGTGACCAAGGCCCGCGGTAAGTCCGGTCCGCTCTTCCAGTTTGACGTCCACGACGATGTGCGCATGATCAGCGATGCCTCTGTCGAAAAAGAGGAGTCGCACGCTGGCAAGGTGCTCCTCCGATCATGGTACGAGCGAAACAAGCACATCTTCCCGGCCAGCCGCTGGGAGCCGTACGATCCCACAAAATCCTATGACAAGTACACCATTAAGGACAAGGACAAGAGCAAAAAGTAGTGCAATTATTAAGAGCTGCTATTTTCACCTCGTTTTATTAAATTTACCTCAAACCCATAGAACGCATATTTTTTTTAATTTACTAAATTTACTACTAAAATCAGGAATATAAAAAAATAAAACTATCTTTGGAAAGCCGAAGCATTAAATTTAGTTCGGAAAGCTTCCCGATGTCAGTTTTCATTAAAAAAAATAAATCTGCCAAGCCCCGACTCGGCGTTATTTAACCAGACAAATTAAGAATTATACCAGGCGAACAGAAACGGCTGGCAGCAACCCAGCAGCAGCACAACAGCATGCGCGGTTTATAACGGATCTTTTAAGCTTTCCTAATGGCCGCGCTTTGTTTACATTTGAATTGACCAATCAGAGAGGTTACTTCAGAACTTTAATGGCCGCCCTTTGTTTACATTTGAATTTAACCTAATGGCCGCCCTTTGTTTACCTTTGAACTGACCAATCAGAGGAGGTTGTTCTCGTTCCTCTCTTTGAAGATCCGTTATTTTAGAACATTTGTACCAGCCGATCAGCTGCTTGCTGAACTTTCTGTTTGCCTGGTACATAAAGACGCGAGTTGAATAGCGAATTTTGTTAATTCAGCTACGTGTGTTGTTGGATTTGTTGTTATTTCTTACAAAAATGGGCTGTAGTCAGACTAATTCAACAATTGGTTTAACCAGGCAAACATAAACATTTGGCAGCAACCCAGCAGCAGCACAACAGCACGAGCTGTTTATAACGGATCTTTTTAGCTTTCCTAATGGCCGCTCTTTGTTTACGTTTGAATTGACCAATCAAAGAGGTTACTTCAGAACTTTAATGGCCGCCCTTTGTTTACATTTGAATTTAACCTAATGGCCGCCCTTTGTTTACCTTTGAACTGACCAATCAGAGGAGGTTGTTCTCGTTCCTCTCTTTGAAGATCCGTTATTTTAGAACATTTGTACCAGCCGATCAGCTGCTTGCTGAACTTTCTGTTTGCCTGGTACATAAAGACGCGAGTTGAATAGCGAATTTTGTTAATTCAGCTACGTGTGTTGTTGGATTTGTTGTTATTTCTTACAAAAATGGGCTGTAGTCAGACTAATTCAACAATTGGTTTAACCAGGCAAACATAAACATTTGGCAGCAACCCAGCAGCAGCACAACAGCACGAGCTGTTTATAACGGATCTTTTTAGCTTTCCTAATGGCCGCTCTTTGTTTACGTTTGAATTGACCAATCAAAGAGGTTACTTCAGAACTTTAATGGCCGCCCTTTGTTTACATTTGAATTTAACCTAATGGCCGCCCTTTGTTTACCTTTGAACTGACCAATCAGAGGAGGTTGTTCTCGTTCCTCTCTTTGAAGATCCGTTATTTTAGAACATTTGTACCAGCCGATCAGCTGCTTGCTGAACTTTCTGTTTGCCTGGTACATAAAGACGCGAGTTGAATAGCGAATTTTGTTAATTCAGCTACGTGTGTTGTTGGATTTGTTGTTATTTCTTACAAAAATGGGCTGTAGTCAGACTAATTCAACAATTGGTTTAACCAGGCAAACATAAACATTTGGCAGCAACCCAGCAGCAGCACAACAGCACGAGCTGTTTATAACGGATCTTTTTAGCTTTCCTAATGGCCGCTCTTTGTTTACGTTTGAATTGACCAATCAAAGAGGTTACTTCAGAACTTTAATGGCCGCCCTTTGTTTACATTTGAATTTAACCTAATGGCCGCCCTTTGTTTACCTTTGAACTGACCAATCAGAGGAGGTTGTTCTCGTTCCTCTCTTTGAAGATCCGTTATTTTAGAACATTTGTACCAGCCGATCAGCTGCTTGCTGAACGTTCTGTTTGCCTGGTACACAAAACCAAGAAATTAAGAAATTTGTATGGAGAATTCCCTAAATCTGTTTTGGTTTTTGTTGTTGGATTTGTTATTTTTTACAGTTAACTTAAATATTTTGTCGAATATGTTTAATTCTTTATTGATCTTGATTTTGATTGCAAATAAAAATATATATTAATCATTTGCTTTTTGGCCTTCGTTCACTACAGGATACCCTAAAATATAATTAATATGTATTCTAGATATATTAAGTAAATATTTTTATATGCGACTTTTTTGATTAAATTTAAGTTTTTTAAATATCATTATTAATCAAAAAATGCATTAATTTCAAGTCGGATAGCTTTTCTGTTTTAGTTTTTATAGGGTTAATAAATCATGTCGGTCCTCATTAGAATAATAAATATGCGCAGCTCAGATTGGGTTTTAATTCAACAATCTCACTACTTTGGTACACCAGGCAAACAGAAACAGCTGGCAGCAACCCAGCAGCAGCACAACAGCACGAGCTGTTTAAAGCGGATCTTTTCAGCTTTCTTAATGGCTGCCCTTTGTTTACGTTTGAAATGGCCAATCAGAGAGGTTCGCCTCTTTAAAGATCCGTTACTTCAGGACTTTTTAATGGCCGCCCTTTGTTTACATTTGAGTTTAACCTAATGGCCGCCCTTTGTTTACGTATGGATTGACCAATCAGAGAGGTTCTTCACGTTCACCTCTTTGAAGATCCGTTATTTCAGAGCATTTTAATCAGCTGAATAGCTGCTTGCGAAGCTTTCTGTTTGCCTGGTACTCAGAACCAAGAATTTAAGAAATTTATATGGAAAATTCGCCAAATTGAATTCAATTTTTGTTGTTGGATTTGTTATTTTTTACAGTTAAGTTTGTCGAATGTATTTTTTCAAATTTTTTAATTTCCCGCGATTTTTCGACATCTACAAGCCAGGTATTTTGTATGTTTGCAGCTCTGGTCACACTACTGAAAAATAAAAACAATGCCGGCCAATGCACATTCTAAATAAATCCAATTCTGGCCAAAATATACTCTGTGTTAATCGACCTACCAGAATACCTGTGCGTGGAGACCAAGTGGGTGAGCCACCAGTACGCGATGGACAACAATGTAACAGTGATGAGAGTCGCCATGGTCAATGGCGGCCACACGGAAGTCACCCAGAATAAATCACCAGAGGACGATTTTCCCAAAAGAGAACGTGGCGTACAAACGGACGCAAAGAAAACATACAACGTGGCCGTGCAGTGTTGTCGGGACGAGGAGGAATGGGACTGGAATGACTTCAACAATCGGGAGGAGGAAAAGGATCCCAAAGACTCCGCCAGCGAGGAGGCCGCATTCCTTACCTTCGTTAGCGATAGCACCAGCATGTTCCCGAACGGAATGCTGGAGTGCCAGGTTTGCGGCGAAGTAGCCAGCTCTCTGATCGAGCAGCAGGGCCACATGAAGGTGCACTACGGTCCGGAGGTACTCTGCTGCCATTGTGGGCAACGGATACCCCATGAGAAGCTGGTAAAGCGCCACAATCTTAGTTGTCCTGGTTTGAGGCCCAAAAAATCATCCATGTTCTTCAAGTGCCCGCATCCGTTGTGCAGTGTCAAGTGCCATTCGGAGATGCAGCTATTCCGCCATCTGGAAAAGCACAGACGCCGGAGCTCTTACAGATGTCTCCAGTGCAAGCAGAGTTTTAAGACCGCCTCCACTCTGCTGATCCATCGCAAAGCTGCGATCGGTTGCTCCAAGGCCAAGTGTGTCACGTTGTTCCAAAAGCACAAGCTGTCCAAGGAGGAACGCGATCTGAGATGCTGCTCGGTTTGTCTCAAACGCTTTAGCAGCGAGAGGATGTGCAATGTACATAGGAGAAAGTGCATTCTGAGCTACCACAAAGACTTAGGACTAGAATTACTGAATGAATTATAAACATAAGTAACATATTTTTTCACATTTTTTGTATATATTTAAGAAATAGAAATCAATAACAATAAGATGAGCCACCCTACGACGCCTGAACGCCATGCGCCTTCTTCAATCCCTGGAAAAGCAGCAGTTTCTCGCGGTTGACTTCCTTCAGTGTCTGCACAGCCAGCTCCAGCTGTACCTTTTTCAGAGCGTGTTCGCTGGCGATGTACTGCTCGATGAACTTGAGGCTGATCTCGTCGGCGGCAAAGTCCTGCTCCGTTTTGCCAATGGCCGTGTGGATCTCCTGCTCGATGCCCTGCTGCTCCCCGCGATTCCGGAAGACACTTCTCAGCTCTGACAAAGCACGCTGTGCGGGTGTGATTTGCAGGGCGTCCAACTGAGCCAGCGTTGGCAGATACTCCACTGGCACATTGTGAATCTTGTAGCTCAGAGCAATCAGTTCCACGGCATTGGACAGGAAGTCCCGGCGGATCATGTCGTACAGCAGATCGTCGATGCAGCGGTGCCAGGCATAGAAGAAGGCCATGGGCCCAAAGTGGCGAGTGGAGCGCAGGAGGTCGAACTGCTTCGATTCGTTGAGGTGCTCGAAGACGCGTGCGGAAATATTGTGAAACTCTGGCTCATGGGGTTCATACTGCACCAGGAGGCGATCCAACACGAACTCATACTTGTGTTCAGCCAGGCACTTGGCCAACAGCTCCTCCAAAAGGAACATACGAGGGATGTAAGACTGACGGCCCTCCAGAGGGGAATACAGCTGATTCATTCGCTTGGTGGTCTCTAAGTTGGCGTAAGCTAGGGTTCCGTCGGTCTCCCGTACCACTACCTTTCGCTCCGACTGCCGCAAGCCGAAGGTGATGTCCGTGAACACGTACTTCGAGCTGGCAAAGTCCTTCAAAGCCGGGTCCTTTGCAATTATGCGCTCCTCATCCTTTTTGATTGTTACGATCGGCGGCATTTGCAGCATGTGCTTGGCCCGCTCCACCATGTGTTGGAACTCACTGTCCAGCTGCTCGTCGGTCATGAACTTGGTCTCTACGCTGTTATCCGGCACCGTGCGCTTGCGGAACACCCGATCCAAGTTCAGTTGCGTCATGGACTGGAGTAGCCTTTGGGTCTCTGCGTCCGTGAACAGCGGCTGCGGATCCCGCTCATATTGCAGCGTCGCCGGCTTGGTTGGGGCATTGGACACCTGGCGGGCGGACTGCCGCAGGCTCCGGAGCCCATTTAGCTGGCGTAATTGCCTCAGCAGGTGCATTTTCAGTCAAAAAAAGCCGCAGACAAAAACACACGAGTCCAGAAATTAGCGATGGCAGTGCGTGGTTTTCCAACACTGGTCGTGAGTTCTGTAAGAAGATAAGAAATTATTGTGAATGAGCCTTTTCTTTTCTAAATGACTTAAATTGACATATACATTTATATGTAAATGTTTCATTTAAAATCCATTATTTAATTTGTTTAATATATTAAAAATATGTTTAAAAATAATTTGCGATAGTATCGGGAAAGTGTCTTTCTTTTTCCATCTCTATCAGCCGGTTGCAATTCCTCAAGCTTGAATTGCGGTATTTTGTGGTATCTTAGCTGTGGTCACACCGGTTACTTGCATTTTAGCTGGAAAAAACTACACAAAAAATTGGCAATAAAAAGCAGCCGAAAGCAGCATGGACGACGTGGGCAGCGCTTGTGTCGCAGCGCAGAAGCGCCGCTTCTCGGCCAGCGAACGTCCGCCTCGGGAGCCGGTCGTCACGCCCCCGCAACTCCCGTTACCAGAAGCCCCCGAAGAGGAGCCGCAGACGAAACAACGCAGAAGGGAGGAGCTGCAGCAGCAGTCGCCGGATGAACGCATCCCATGCATAGAGCACAACCTGCTGGACTTCTGTGATGAGATGCTTTACGAGATCTTCAAGTACCTGGACACGCCCTCCATAATGGCGGTGATGCAGTGAGTTCCTTTTCGTGGCCTTCCACAACATGTACAAAGAAATCCATGGGGGGCACGTCCAATAGGGATTTCCCGGAATTCAAAATTATCTTATCTTACAAAATGAAATATGAACCAATATTGCATTTCTCATGTTTTTGTTTACAATTATAATCTGAACTTGCTGGTATACATATAGCCTGCATTCTCGTTACATTACAAACTTTAATGATAAACCTATAGGAAATGTACTCATATGGCTAGGCGTATCGTATGGTATCCAGTCCCATGACTCAAGGGTTGTATAATACTAAACTATTTATTCTTTAGCTAAGTGTTATTTGAGAGACTTAATTTTCCACTCCGATTAATATTAAACAATTAAATGAATTTAGCTGCTCGCCTCGTTTGGAGAGCCTGCTTCTGGACCACCGCTTCTGGCACCGCATAGATCTCAGCAATGGACCGCTACCTATGGGCATTCTGGAGGAGATCCTTGGTCGAGCCACCGAAAAGACACACACCATCAAGATTTGCGGACCGCCATCATCGCAGCATGTAGCCGGCGAGTTCCGGCAGTTTACCATGACCCTGAATTCCGTCTTTCCCAAGGTAGCAAATCAGTTAAAAGTGCTGGAACTGCAGGGCGTCAGCCTGGACTTTGAATATGTGAGTGTTGCAATAGGATTTCATTGCCTACGAATACTTAATTTGACTTGTACTGATTATAGATACACATTTCCGAGTTTCCCGCCTCGCTGAAGAGACTAATGCTCAAAGATTGCAGTGTGAAGGTGGGCAATCTGGTCAAGAGTATATTTCACACGATAGAGTTGCAACTGGTGGACTTAGAGGTAACTGAAGCTTATTTTCTAACTATAATATCAATAACTCCTAATTTCTATTGACCTTAGGATCTCAGCATTGAGGACAATAACTGGTTCGAACCGTATTACATTATGGCCCTCTCAAAGTTGCCTTCGCTGCGACGACTTAGTCTTAAGGGCTGTCAGATGCTCTGCAAGTTTGTTCCCTACGGCAGCATGGCGGCCCGCTTTGGCTTCCACAAACTAGAGGTTTGCAAGGCTCCCTCAAAATATTTTTGGAACAAGCTCTAACCTCTTTCTTTTTCAGGTGCTAGACCTTCGTTTAACGCCCATCAATAACTCGGATTTGCAGTGCTTCAGCGCCATCGAGAATCTCAAGGAGCTGTTTCTTGAGTCGCCGACCAACCTGCCCGCAGAAGTCTCTTCCCCGGAGAAAACCAACAATGGCAATGCCAATGACGAGGCTGTCGCCCCGCAGCCGGAATCACTAAAAGTTCTCAACGACGATGAGCCGTCCACATCGCGGGCCGCCATGGAACACCTGCGAGCCTGTAAAATTGCACAGGGCAAGGAACAAAATGCTGATATGTTCAACTCGGACAATTGCAACGAGAGAAAGGAGCCGTCGCCGCCCGCCTCAGCAGTGCCAGCTGCCAATACTAGGGAACCACTGGTGAAGAAGATTACTGGCTCCTCAGAATCCGAGGATGAGGACACCTCTTCCACTTCTGCCTCTACAGACACGTCCTCCTCAACCTCCTCCTGCTCATCCGATAAATTGGAGAATGTAGCTTCGCACGGTAATGCCCAAAATGGCGGTGCTCCCGTACGATCACCACTGGTTGTTATTGCTTTGCCCAGCGTGGCTGCCGATCATCCACCACCTGAGGTGCCACCAGCAGCAGATTCGGATAATCCTGATGGGCAGAATCCAGGACCGTCGCCCACACCGCGCGCTTACATATACGTGCCCGAAGTGCATCCACCTGGTCAGGAGAATCCGCGGCAGCAGCCCAATATGGTAGCCATTTTGGAGCAAATGGCGGACCACTTGCGCACCTGGCGGGGAAACAATCCTGCCCATAGTCGTTTCCTGCCGCGTCGTGATCAAATGATCTACATGAATCCGCAGGCAATGGCCATTCGAGAACCGATGCTTGTGATGCACTCGCGACGCCATCGATCGCATCCACGTGGGAACTTTGACCAGGTGGTGCAGCATCCCATGTTCTGGAACATGCTGGACCCCCTCGATCGGGACTATGCTCGCCGAATGCGCCACCGTCCAACGACCTGCCCGGCTCCGCCACAATGCTATGTATCGGATCGTGCGATCTATAGCTTTGGCAGAGCAGCAAGACCCGTGCAGCCGGATGTGGTTTGGATACGAAACATCAACCGCTCTCCGGACAACCGGTTGGAGCGACTATCGCTGCGAAACTACCATCACATAACGAATCACACGCTGGAGCATCTGGTGCAGTGCTCACCGAATCTGATCTTCATTGATGTGAGTGGTACGAGCATAACGCTTTCGGGACTGCGACGCTTTAAAAGCAGCAAACCGGAGTGCGAGGTGGTAGCCACGCACTTGACAGTGGACGATGAGGATGCCACGGAGGTACCGATCGAGGAACAGGAAGATGAGGTGTCGGCACAAAACGAAGAAGGACCGGCTGAGGCAAATGATCAACAGCCACCGCAGTCGCCACCGCCGCCGCCGCCTGTTCTAGTGATCCCATAGTAGATTCCCCCAACTATATGTTTGTATGGTGTTGAATTCCGTGAACTTTTCTGTGGCAATGGGCCGTGCTGAATGGAGATATTTTAAGACGACGAAGAGGACGACGACATGGCCAAGCCGACGATCCCACAACGCTGGCTACAAGCGAGTGCTGTAGTTCAGCCCATTAGTATTACGTTCCAAACTAATCAAGCCCCTGTACTATACGCCAGGCTCAGTGCACTGTATAAATCCAAAAATCCAAACTCCGCAACAAACCAATCCTCTAGTTAGGCATTAAAGATCGCGCGACCCCTTTGGTATACGTACAATGAAATGTTTATTTGGTAGCTCGGTAGATAATGTAAGGACAAACCAATTAATATTTCAGTTATTCTTGGGTGTACAGGGATCTCAAATGTCTAAATATTTGGACTTTACTAGCCAGTGGCATTGGGGGAAGTCTCTTCCTCTTCAGCATCTGAATCTTCTTCTGAATCGCTGGTGCTCTGACAGTCAACAATCTCGCCTGTGAAGAAGATCACCGCCTTGGGGATAACGCGCTCTTTAAGGTAGAAACCCATCTCAAAGTCATTGTTCAGTATTGTCTGTGCGGTATAAAAGTGAGTAACATTTTCAGAAACTATACAAAACCGATCTCACGTGAATGTCAATATAATGCTCATCTTCGGTGTCCTCCGGCAAAGTGGGAGGGGAAAAGAAGTCAAAGAAAGAAGTTTCGTCTGAGCACGTACATCATTTCATATCAGAATTTTGAATTATAAAAGTGCCTTTCCTACTTACTCTTATCACGACTCTTTGGTGTCTTCCAATCAATAGTACAGCCTTCGCACTTGAAGATCTCTGCACCATCAAACAATAAAGGATCCTTTGGATCCGGCAGGCAGTTGAAGAAATACGTCTTCTTCAGAACTTTATTACTAAAGTATTCATTCTTATCAAAATGAAAATCTATGTCGAACTTGACCATGTCTTCAACATAAAGTTTGGATCGAACGTCGGACAAAAACTATGGGTGAGTTCTCCTACTTTTAGCAAACAAATATGTATAATTTCAACAACTTACTATCAAAATCTTCTCATCCTCCTTGGTTATCAACTCTGTGCAAGCTACTTTGAGTACGTTAAGCCAAAAGTTTTTCACATTTTCGTTTGAGTCCCCATGGTTTTGTTTTCGAAATTCACTTAGATATTTAATTTTAAATTTCAGAAATATGTAAAATGCATGTGACTTACTCTAGTATCTTCCTGCGCTCCTCGTAGATGGCATTTTGACGATCCTCGTAGCTCTTCTCCATCTTGTAGATGTCACGCTGCATGGAAACATCCAACTTAATAGTCTCTAAATAGAGTTGCTTCAGCTCTGTGATTGTCTTTCTCTCGGCTGCGGTGTAATTGAAGTCCTGCAAAATGATCCGATTCTTAGGAAAATACTTTTAAGGATACCTGACCTTCACTTACATATTCTTCCGGTGTTACGTACGATTTCATTTTCTCCTCGAGACTTGCGTATGTGGACTCCATTTTATAAAAAATATTCAAGTTAATTTTTTGAGTTTGTGATGTATGCACGACTGACTAGGGTGGGAATGAGGCAATGAGGCTGGGAGGTCAACCAAACTAACTAGCACAAACGACAGGGCACACTTTGTTTAGTTTTAGATTAAGCTTTTAAAAATGAATTGCTGCCTTTTTGGATTTTCAAATGGATTTTCAAGTTACGACATTAAAGAACTCTTTGGTATACGTAAAATGAAATGTTTATTTGGCAGCTATGCAAATCATGTAAGGACAAACCAATTAATGGTGAGGTACTTTTGTGTGCGAAATAATTGTGAAAAGTGTAAAAGGTGTAAACATATTTAGAAATTGGGGTTTCACTTGTCGGTGCCGTTGGAGGATTCGTCTTCCTCCTCGGCGTCTGAATCGTCATCGGTATTTTCAGTTTCCGATTCGGAGGAGCTCTGGCAGTCAGCGATCTCGCCGGTAAAGAAGATCACTGCCTTGGGGATCACACGCTCCTTTAGATAGAAGCCCAGCTCGAAGTCATTTTGAAGTATTGCCTATGCAGAATAAAGGTAAGGTTGGTGTCCAGAATATAAACCAAGGAGATCTCACATTGATGTCGCAGAACTGATCATCCTCGGGATCCCCCGGCACAGAGGGAGGAGAAAAGAAGTTGAAGAAAGAAGGGGCACCCGAGTCGCCTGTTAAAAAGATAATAGTTTGAATTATCTGCTATTTGGATTATACTTTGCTTACTACTATTCTCGCAGTTCTTTGGAGTCTTCCAATCGATGGTGCAACCTTCGCACTTGTAGATCTCTGCCCCATCATACGAAAGTGGATCTTTTGGATCCGGCAGACAGTTTAGGAAATACGTCTTTTTTAGTACACTATTAGTGAAGTATTCATTCTTATCGAAGTGAAACTCGATATCGAACTTAACTTCCGGGTCATTATAGAGCCGGGAACGTACATCAATCAAGTGCTGTAAGGTCAGGAATATTAATTACCCAAAGTAAAGTATATGTGCCTTATTTGGGTTAATTTTCAAGATAAACTTACTGACAAAATCTTCTCATCCTTCTTGCTGATAAACTCCGTGTAGGAGGCTTTAAGCACCTTGAGCCAAAAATTACTGACATTCTCATTTGGCGTAGAATCGCCATGGCTTTGCTTCCGGAATTCCCTGGGAAATGTGTAATGAACTTTGAGAAATTAGTAAAAATTTGGGACAACTTACTCTAGGATCTTCTTGCGTTTCTCAAATATGGCATTGTGGCGCTCCTCATAGTTCTTCTCCATATTGTAGATATCACGTTGGAGGGCCACATCCAAATTAATAGTCTCCAAGTAGAGCTTCTTCAGCTCGGTAATCGTGTTCCTTTCATCGTCGGTGAAAACAGCCTCCTGCAGAAATTCAATTGTACAACCTAAAAAGGTGTGATAACTTTTTAATTTACTTTCTTTTCCGGCTTCACATAAGGAACTGTAGATTTAACACGCATGGCGGGCCTAGTGCGCGTTTGCTCCATTTTTGAATAGGAATTTATGGGGATGCCCCTTCACAAAACGAAAGTACAAGAAAAAGTAGAAAAAATTTCAAAAATTTTCTTGTGTAATTATTTTGTACTCAATTTTATTGTATCGTTCTAAATGTTATGTACGCCTTGACTCTCGGCGTGAGAATGATATGATGTTTTTAGTTCTTCAAATACTAGAAGCACTTATGTCTAAGCCCACTTAGTTGTTGCTTTAGTTATTAGATTCATTGCCTACTTCTACACTTCTCTAGGAAATACCTAATTCGAAAATGATTTTTAAGTATAATAAGGAAAAATGAGACCTGATTTAATTTTTTATTCTTAAAGCTAATTGCTTTAGTACCTATTTTACCTTTCTAAGCTTAGACGTAAAACCTTCTTTGTATTTTTATACTTCCCCAACTAATGATAAACTCATTAACCAACTTTTTGGCAAAGTGTAACCCTCTTACCCATATTGTTGGCGGCTTTAAAACCCCTTTCGCCTGATGCTGCCATTGAGATGCAGGCCATGTTTATTGGCAATTTAACGCACATTTAATTCCAGCTTTTTTCCTGTTTATATTTTTGGTTTCCCGTTCAGTTTTTCTTTTGCTTTCGGTTTCTTTAACTTTTCATTTGGCATGTAATTAAGTGTGGGCCAGATGTTCACGTGGTGGGGGCTGCTTAAGTGTATGCAAATCACGTGCTGAGTGCCAAGAAGGGCTCAGCCATCGCCTTCTGGCCAAAATGAGAGAGTGAGAATCTGTTAAATGGACCGAACTCGGTTCTTGGTGTCCTGCTTGTTGGGAATTCAGCGGGTTTTCGGTTTGTCTTTTGTCGCCGGGTTTTAATAAAGTGGGCCAGGCTTAGTGCCATATGTCAGGCTGTGAGAAACAATGGAAAAACGAGTTTCAAAATGAAATTATGAGTGGGGACAGCCACAGCCGCGGCGAGTGAAAAGTGTAAACAAATTTAGCCAAGCGGAAGTCCGGGCAAACATAGGGACATCCGCAGAGGTTGGAAAATGTGAGGAAATGCGAGATCGCATTGTTTGCTCAGAAAAATACACATGGTCCATGTCCCGAGACTGGACAATTCCCGTGCATGTGCCCCCGTTAGTGTCCTCACATTTGATATTATTAAATTTTTCTCCTAAATACCGCTGGGAAATTAAAAAGAAATCATAACGCAAATAGTGTAAGGCAGCCAGCCATCTGATGATGACTTCTTTGGCTGGCCAATTCCTAGATTTATGGGATGTATACAGCTTTAATCTGATCAAATTTGTTCCCAGATTTATGTATAGCATTAAAGCCTTTTTAATGTGTCTCACAGAATGCCTTAAACTCTCGTAATATAAACCAATTTCTGTATCTATGGGTTTATCCTTTTGATTTCAAGATTTCTTATATGTTATTTTGTATAGTTTGTCTGTCGAAACTTGTTCTCAGTGCACCCACTCTTTAAGTGCGAAACCATTTAAGCTGTTCAGGCATTTTCAATTTACATTTCGGTCATTCAATTAGGAGGGGCATAAAATTTAGCTACATAAGTAATGGAGAGCAGCCTCATCATCATCATCATCATCGTCATCAGCAGCTGAGGAGGGATCGTGGCCATCACCCACGTGATTGCCGAGCGTTGGAGGTCGTCAGTGCCGGCAGCGTCAACATAGTTTGAATTTAATTAAAACCAAAATTAGTAAAACCCAGGGTTCGGTCCGGAGCAGCTCGACTAGCCGGAGCAACAGTTACTTGGCGCAGGGATTAGAGCTCCTGCTGTTCCCGCAGCTCCTGCTGCTCCTGCTGCTCATGCTGCTCCTTGCCTGGGAAAAGTGCATGTCTGCAGAAAATCGAATCAGCAGCTCAACATCCTCATCCCCACGATTTCCCACGTCCTGGAGCCATCCACCTGGCTGTGAAGCTCGGCGCCGTGCCGAAATATTTGCAACAAAAGCATAAGATGTAGTGCAGCATTTGATGATGAAACGACGTGTTAATTAAGGTCATAATAATTCAACTTAAATTGAAAACTTGCCCGGGCTGCCAACGTAACGCAGCCGCTTTATGGGGCCCATTCCCAGCTGCCACTCTGCCACGTTTGCCACGCCCCCCGTCCCCATTTTAGGGAGGGGACGTTGCAAGGGCAGTCTCAGCCTGCAGGCTAAGCTGATTGCAACAAATTATTTTGCACCTTGGTTGAACTTTCCTTGAGCTGCAGACAGCATGGCGTTGATAAACGAATTTTGTTAGTTTGCTTTGCTTATTTTAAATGGAACTAGGTGGTGGTTGGGTGGTGCTAGGATTGGCCGGACGAGTGGCTCTGGTGGGTGGGTGGAGGTCCAAAAGGAACAGGGGGCCAATGTTGCCTTTGGTTTTGCATAAACCAGACAACGCATCTAATAAGTTGCAGCTGTCGGTTTCCAACCTCTCCTCGGCACCAGTTGGTGAAAGAAGTTTAAAGTTTTTGCCGGGCTCCGCCTAATGCCTCAAAGTGCAGAGCTGTGTTTGCCATTAAATGTTATTAGTTAAATGATAATTAACAGTTGGGAAAACTTGCGGGAATATCTCTCGCCAACTAATTTGCATAGCCAACTAATTGGCTTAGAGGGTCATTGCATTTAGGTATTTTTCGGCGAAAAGGTATTTTAATTAGGCATTTATGCCCAGGTATCTTATTTATAATAGATTATTTAATTTCAATTTTAATTAACAGCTTATGTCAGTACTTGGACTAATTTCTAGGTTTTTATGGCCAAGAGATTAGCACTAAAATGTTATTTTTAGTCTTTCATTTTTGCTGTGTAAAATCCAGGGGGATCTATGGGTGTGCTGCTCATAATTAACAGCCATACACCTGCAGTTTGTCTTCCCTGACATCCTAATTCGAATGCTATTCATAACCCTCACACACGCACACCCACACCCACACATCCATATGTTCACGCAGAGAGTGCTGTGCAGATCCTTGCCAGCCGCAGGATAGTTTGGCAGCAGCTTCCTTGGCGCCCGCACCTCCGTCCGGAAACTTTTTACTAATTTACATTCATTACACACATTTGCAATAAAACTAGAAACCCAACTCGTACACAAATTGAGGCACAGGACGCCCTAACACACACACACATACGGCTGAAGGATGCAAGTACATACTCGCACAACTACATTGACATTTTACATGCTTCATTAGCGTGTAAGCGCGGTAATAATGAAATTTCCTTATGGCTGCATTTCCACCTTCTCCCCACCTGCATATTGATGCAAAGTTTTTGTGGTTGGGGGGGAGGGGCTCAAAAACTTGGGGCTACTGGGTAGCACAACGTCTTTGGCCGCAATTTATGTTGTTTTCTGGCACCATCTTTGGTCTCTTTAAGCGGGTTTAAGGTGCAACATCTCTTGCTCCCTTTTTGGCCGCTGATTGCTCTACAGATACAGCAACAGCAACAGACAATGACAATCGAAATTGCTGGGAATTTCGACAATCAAATCAGGCAACAAGACAAACACGAAAAACATAAAGCGAAGACATACAAATTTGTCAGCAGTCAGTCAAAAATGAGCAGCGGAAATGATGGCAGCGCTGGCGGAAACGGAACGCGACAAGGTGGATGGATGACTGCTCCTTTGGGGCGGTGCCCCAGCAAAAATCTGAAGCTATAGCCAAGGCTGATGATGGTGGAAAATCAGCTGCACAGCTGATGCCTGCCTCTGCCACATGACCTCCCCCCGTGACTTTTGCCTGCCTGCTGAGCTGCTCTGCTTCTGGCTGAAATTAAAATTGCATTACGGGCTAAGGGCAGGCAAGGGCTGGCTGGCAACGTATTGGTTCAGATTTGTTTTGCCTTTCGCCTTGGATCGCCTCCGTTTCGGTGTACTCAACGCCCTTGGTGTTGCACACTGAAAATCCAGCGTCTACACATTCGATATTTTCACATATCATATAACATTTGCTATAAGCCATAGTCCGTTTAACAAAGTATAGCATACCTTTTGGGGCTGCCACTTGGGAAGGAAACTCAATAGAGTAAAAAAGGTTATCTTGTAATCGTAATCCAATCTGTTTAAACTATCTGAGATATAAAGAAACTCAGACACAAATGGTTTATTAGTTAATTTTTAATTTTGTAAAAAGGATAAGCTTTAAGCTGGCTATATAAATATCAAATTGCAAATTGGTTTGAAGCTCATAACTTTTGTTAGTCTCCTTGAATGGTAAGCCATAATGAATATTTATAAGTTTTCAAATCCGCTTTTAATACGCTATTGATAGTTTTAAATATCAAGGTTTCTGATTTCCATCATTTTCATTAATTGCAACTAATGTAAAGCCTTGGGTTTCATTTTTCCCCTCACTGTACTCACATATGTTCGTGAGCTAGTTCCATAAATATTTCAATATTTGTGCACATTTGAAGCTGCTTAGCCACGCCCATTGCCAACAGACCGGGAGGCAAGTCAGGCAGGAAATAGTTTAATTAAAATTCCTTTGGCAATGTCATTAAGGACATTACATTTTGTAGATGCTGCTGTTGCTGTGCTGTGCTGACGCTGTTGATGCTGCTAAAGGTATTTGGAGAGGCCTGCCAGGACGAAGGACATTTCAATAAGACACGAAGCTGGAGCAGCCAAGCCGGGCAGCCAAGGACCAATGAATTTCATTGTTTTCGCATGCAAATTTGCATTTGTGCGAAGCCCGTCCACAAAGCGTGGAGAAAGTCACAAAACACAAAGCAGCAAACAAAAGTTGAACGGGGCGATCCTTTAAAGGGCCATAACGGCATGTAAATTCCTTTAGCACGCCCCATCGATATTGTTACCCAAAGTCGCCTCCCCCGCCTATGATGATGAGAGGCCCCGCTGAAAAGTGGAAAAAAACAAGAGCATAAAACCTAAATGCAAATAGCCAAAGGTTCGATGTAAAAAAATCGTATACACAATGCATATAAAAGAGCAAATAAAAATGAAGAGAGAAAAAAAGAACCAACAACATTCATGGAACGAACAAAGAAATGCTGGGAAAACAACAAGATTAAAATGAAAACAATCATGACAATCAGGGACCGCAAATGTCAAATTAAATTATCAATAAATTCCCACCAAGGAGCCATGCCGGACGCAAATTCGTCCTTCTACGATGGCACTGGCAATATCAAGTATACGCCACCGCCGCCCAATACAGCATGACCATCACTCCACCCTGACCATCAGGAC